TCCTCGCTCTAGCTCCGCCCCTTTCACAAAACTCTGCAATATCGAGAGCTCTACGTACTTTTTGTGCTCGATGAGTGAATTTTTTGGATTGAGCTTTACTAGTGGCCGTTTCCACTTCCATTTTTCACTTACAAAAATTATCGTATACATCGCATTTGAATGGAGCAAATTTTGAAGCACTTTTTGATGAGACAAAACAAGGAGTTCACGAAATAAACATCGATAAAATACACTTCCACTCGTGCAAATCTGCCGTCGACTTGATTGGGCCTTCAATCACGATAAAAAGTGTCCATCAAGATACCTGAAGGGGAAATTCTCTGGAAAATACTTCCAAAATATCAGAAAATTATGGCAAATGAAGTCCTTGATGATTGTAATGTTCCCAGAGTCCTGACCCATCCAATTCCGCCCCACTCCAACTTCCCTCCCCCTCTACAGCAGCTCTTTTCGTGCGAAAACCCCACGAAATTCCAGTAATCCTGTAGAAAAACCAAAAAAANAAAAAAAACGAGCTGCCTGACTGACTGGGAACCCACAAATTTTTCAGAAAACACTTGTCCCTTCTTATAAGACAAAGTAAGTTCCGAAGAGCGATTTCTCGTCCTCTACTCCATCACACTTCTACCCTTCCCTTACCTCTTCCTCGTGGTCGACGACGAGATGGTCTCCTCGCTGTGGATTTACGTTAGTAGTGTGTTTGGACGAAAATTGAGTTGCCGGTTTTGCGGAGAACAACGAAATCGACGACGGTCTCAATGGTATCGACTGTTTCTTCGGCCTAAATTATCCCTAGTTTACAACAAGTAAATAAAAATAAATAAGTTATTGCATAGAATGATTTGGGCAGAGCTGGTGTAGTGGTAAGTGCCCATTATCACACACACTTGGTCAAGGGATCGAATCCCGGACCGATTCCCAAACAGGTCAACCCTCCGGAGTTTGGTAAATGATTCCAAACTCGTATTGGGGAATAAATGCACTGACTTCCACTAGGCTGGTCAGTACAATTCATTGTATGAGCCACATACGCATTGAATACGTCACTATCATCCTGAATAGAGGTTGAATGCGTGGCGCATCCCTCAGGGGGGATTGATGAAGGCTCCGAGACTTTATTATGTGAAATTTGTAAATCGACAAATTAAGTAAACGGAGTAAAAGTACAGATAGAGGGAACGTCAAGGACACAGAGAACACTTTCTGCGACATGTTTTCTCTCTGTGTGTGACCATATTAAAGGCACCGTTCGCGATGATTCAATGGGCGGGTGTGTCGATGACGTGTCCGCCTCTCATTCGA